GGTTATTATAAATCAGTTCAAAATTCTTGACCATTACAAAGTGCCTTGATGTCAAAAGTACTTTAATCCCATTAGCATACTTTTATGACAATGACAGTACCAGTAATTTGAGTTTATTTTCATCCCTATTTATATGTATCAGATTATTTTGTTATCAAATACAAATATTAAGAATTGGATGAATAAATTGATATAATTTAATTGTTATTTTTTATTAATATTAAGAGTTTTGGTAGATAACCAAAATGGAGAATATAGATGATATCAAATTATGGATTGTTGGGTATGCATTATTCTCATTATGAATTTTAAGAAGAGCAATTGCAGCTGATATTGACATGCTTTTTATGCATTGTTGTTAATCCTAGGCTTTCTCATAGTTTGTTGTCTTGCATTTGTTGTACCAAGGTGATTTGAAATATATGATTTACAAGATATTAAGATGTTGACTACAGTGCCTTACTAATCTGTGTTACCAATTTGATTATGAATGAATCAGTAGTTTATATTCTTAGTTCAGTGCGATGTGGTAATTACCACTCATATTCAAATAGAAAATAAAGTTTTATAGATCAAATTTGTTCACGAACTTATTAATCTTCTGTTTAAGTGAACCGCATTCATTGCAACAAATGTAGAAAAGGTATGAATCAGAATGAATATCTTCACAGTTTAATAATTGGATTTGATTGGTTCCCATTATATCTTCATCGGTATTACATGATTTGTATTTGTGACAAAGATATAATTGAAACAGGTCAGCTACATCTCTTGCACTGTGGTAATATTAATTCTCATTGATACCTTTTGCACTTTTTTTTATATATCTATAGTAGGAAAGTGCTTCTTGACATATCTTTTTGTGGAATTGCGCAAAGAACAAAAGTAGGTGAAGTGGGTTGTGATTTTTGTATCAAAGAGTTTATGTAATTTTTATATGTATTGTTTAAGTTAGTTCAATCTGTAATTTTTGTAAATTATATTTTACTTGCAATAATAAATTTATGTATTAACATTGACTTAATGGCGTTTTTTTGTTGTTGTTGTTTTACTCATGAAAAGTACCACTTTTTACAGTCTTAAGCATATGATTTTCCTTTGAATTCAGTGATATATGTCTGATTATAAATGGTTCCTTTTCTTTCTCTCTCTCTCTCTCTCTCTCTCTCTCTCTCTCTCTCTCTCTCTCTCTCTCTCTCTCTCTCTCTCTCTCTCTCTCTCTCTCTCTCTCTCTCTCTCTCTCTCTCTCTCTCTCTCTCTCTCTCCCTCCCTCCCTCCCTCCCTCCTCCCCTCCTCTCCCTCCCTCCTCCCTCCCCTCCCTCCCTCCCTCCTCTCCCTCCCTCCCTCCCTCCTCCCTCCCTCCCTCCCTCCCTCCCTCTCTCTCTCTCTCTCTCTCTCTCTCTCTCTCTCTTCTCTCTCTCTCTCTCGTCTATATATTATATATATATATATTATATTATATATATATATATATATATCTCTCTCTCTCTCTCTCTCTCTCTCTCTCTCTCTCTCTCTCTCTCTCTCTCTCTCTCTCTCTCTCTCTCTCTCTCTCTCTCTCTTTCTCTTTCTCTTTCTCTTCTCTTCTCTCTTTCTCTCTCTTTCTCTTCTCTTTCTCTTTCTTTCTCTCTCTCTTTCTCTCTTCTCTCTCTCTCTTTCTCTCTCTCTCTTCTCTCTCTTTCTCTTTCTCTTCTCTCTCTCTTTCTCTTTCTCTTTCTCTTTCTCTTCTCTTTCTCTTTCTCTCTCTCTCTCTTCTCTCTCTCTCTCTCTCTCTCTCTCTCTCTCTCTCTCTCTCTCTCTCTCTCTCTCTCTCTCTCTCTCTCTCTCTCTCTCTCTATCTGTCTCTCTTTTTCTTTCTCTCTCTCTCTCTCTCTCTCTCTCTCTCTCTCTCTCTCTCTCTCTCTCTCTCTCTCTCTCTCTCTCTCTCTCTCTCTCTCTCTCTCTCTCTCTCTCTCTCTCTCTCTCTCTCTCTCTCTCTCTCTCTCTCTCTCTCTCTCTCTCTCTCTCTCTCTCTCTCTCTCTCTTCTCTCTTCTTCTTCTCTTTTATTGTGTCTTAAGTGACATAATAATTATACCCATTTAACTGACGTTAATATGTTTGTCTGCCTCTATATTTATGCTACCAATCTACCTGCTGCCATAATTCAAGTGTAAGTTTTAAAAGCTTTCACATAACATAATTTTTGATGAAAGGGCTTACATCTAGATATGGAGAGTACATTTTATGCCACAAACAATAAAATATTCCCAGTTTTGCTCCACAGCGTATCAGAGACAGCTTGAACAAAACCACAATTTTTATGCTAGTTTATAAATGCAGAATAACCTATGTGAACAGGAAAAAGCACATATGTTGATAAGCAATAAAGAATTGGCATATTTTATGTTGATAAAAGTTGTATAATGAAGATAAATATGTTTTTGCAATAAAATAATAAAGTAGAATATTAAACTTCTGGTCTCATTGGCAGTCAGTAATTTTAAGTTCCGAAATTCATCA